TTTTGATCTTGTTGGATGACATTTTGGACTACCATATCGGTGACCTATCAGATTCTATCTCGGTGACTTTCGGTGCTGTCTACCTCCCCCCACCTCTTCGTCTCTCCTCCCCCATTCATCTGTGTMTGTGTGTACGGGGCTGAGCATCTTCTATRTATGGCTCAGACCCCACACCCCACGATTGTATGTGTGTGGAGTGATGCTATGTGAGTCAGTCTATGTGAGTCAGTCCGTTCATCAGACTTCCGTTGCATATATGCTCATCCTACATTGGTTGATCCTTTGTTCTGCCCATACTCATTGGAGTATGTAACACCCGTCTTCAGCGTTTTGTTAGCCTTGCCTATATTTATTCTAATGAAATCTACAAGCTCCACGTTGGCATGATGCAGGCCAAAGGTGTGTTTTTCTTGACGTTCTGCTGAACATCGTATCCGCCATATGACCATGAGGATGGCTAGGCGAGTGTGTTTAAACAAGTTTGACTGAAAGGGAGACCAGGCAGGGGTATAGTTTCAGTGTTTGCCCAACAAAATGACCCGGATTTCCCATGGGAATGGTTGGCCCGTAAGGTGGTGCCACAGAGCATCCCACCAGCACCAGACCTGAAGTGCAAGTGGACAAGCGAGCAGACAGTGTTCCAACTATGCGGAGGCACCTTCGAACAATTTGCCATTGGAGGACCCTGTGCGAAGTTGGCATAATATGCGCATAAGTTGTCCATGGGATGATCTCCAAATCAGTGTCAAGGAGAGGTGGGTCGCGCTTCCAGCTACGCTGAACTTGCAGGGTGGATGAGTGCACCCTGATGGGTTGTTCTGGTGTCTGAGGGAACATCTGTTAGCCAGTGCACGGCCAGGCAACTTGAGAAAACTAATGGCTCACTCCTAAAATTTTGGAGGCTCAGTGCTACCGGACCACAATGGCTGGCGATGCAATCCAAAAAAGAAAAACATGCGCCGCTGGCAGTGCAGCAAAGCTTGGTGCGCAGTGCGAGCCCACCAGGCTCGAGTGTCTGAGGGCATTTATATTAGTTCCTCCCCGTGTAGAATTTAATATCCTACCCCTGTCTATTTGACAGGGTCGTGGCACTGCCGTTTACAGACGCTGTCAAGGTTTGGCGGCTCCACCTTTGCTGGCAGCAAACCAGTGTAAAGCAGGTACAGAACCAGAGTTCAAACTAGGTGGAAAACTAGAGTTTAAATCAGCACAGCAAACCAGTGTAAACCAGGTGCGGATCATAGTGGAAGTAGTTCAAACCACGTGCAAGCACAGCAATGTACGGTAAACCAGCACAGAAGGCAGTGTAAATCAGGTACAACACGTACAATGCAGTGTAAACCAGGTCCAATGCAGTGTAAAGTTGTAAACCAGTTACGAACTACAGTTAAATCATCACAGCATACCAGTGTAAACCAGGTGCAAACAAGAGCGGAAGAAGTGCACACCAGGTGCAAAGCACAGCACAGCAAGTTGTAAACCGGGTACACACCACAGCATGAGCAGTGCAAACCAAGTGCAAGCCACACAAGAGCAGCGTACACTGCTTCTGCTGTCGTGTGTACCCGGTTTACAACTGCTTTCTTGTGCTTTGCACCTGTGTGCACTTTTTCTGCTCTTGTTTGCACCTGGTTTACATGACTACGATTCTAACCAAGTGCAAGCCACACAAGAGCAGCATAAACAGGTGCAAACCACAGCGGAGCAGTACTAACCAGGGATGTAGCGGGGCCAGCTCTGCTCTGGTTTGCACGACCATGATCCTAATATGGCCATTAGATCCTATCTTGCAAATGCATCGCCACATTTTGTTTCCCGTTGGAGATTAAATGATCGATTACTGCAACAGGAATGGAGGGGGGACAGCTGGGGGATTTGTGGCTGCCAAAGAATTTGCCAAGCATTCCTGTATAATTGGCGAAGGCATGGGTGGGGGCGATTGGGGGGGTTGAGAGCTTACGCAATTTCTAAAGCATTGCCAACCCATATTTCTCAAAAGAAGAAAGGTTAGGGAGACTTGGAAAACGATGGGAAGCAAGACAGGGCTAATATGATTGGATCACGAGGGATGCTCACTCGAACGGCTACCTGTCCTCCTGCCTCCACACTTTTCTCAAGAGAAGAGAAAAATTGAGGAAACAGGGCTATAATACGGTTGGGTAATTCCGATTCATGGACTTAATCTCTCTCTCTCTCTCTCTCTCTCTCTCTCTCTCTCTCTCTCTCTCTCTCTCTCTCTCTCTCTCTCT